GAATGAAAACTATGAAGTATAGCTTTTGGGGCAAGTTTTACAGTTGAGTTAGACAGCCAACTGCTTGAAATAAAAATACCTTTGTAATGACATTTTTGGAAGGCGTATGGTTCATATGATTGTAAGACATTTGATTGACACAAGCTGCTGAGGACTTGGAAAAGCTAGATTTCAAGGCACCAGGAAGTTAGTGTTTATATTTCTAATGTACATCACTGCAATTTAAAACCTAGAGAATAAGTAGTTTTTCGTAGTAATTTTCTTTTTGATACAGTTCTTTGAGAAATAACAAGTAAATTGAGTTTAATGTCTGTGGTTTGAAACAGAATTAGGTTGTATAGAATTACACAAATATTTTGCTCAGCAATGTGTTTACACAGGTCAAACTTCACTTGGAAGCCGGTTAGGTTGACATGAAGTCAGTGCTGTTGTATGCCATCAGAGCATAACTGACCCATAGCTGACCTTCCAGCAGGTTTTCAGAGGCAATAAATTGTACAGGAGGAGACTTCCTGTCCTTCTCTGAAGTCAGTAAGTGTCTAGAATTGTTTTCAGTCCATGTGTCTTTTGACAGTCTACTCATGTATTATAGGGAAGCCACATCTTGTTATTTTAACAATAAACAGTTTTCACACCAAAACACTGCTATTAGTGGTAAAACCTAGTCCTGTGAAGTTGATTCTGACACTAGAAGGACAGGGTAGAACTATCTTCCCCTCAGAGAACATCTGAGGCTGTCCATCTTTCGAGAAACAGACTGCTTCACCTGTCTCCAGTAGAGGGGCTAGTGGGTTCTAACCTATGACCTTTCAGTTAGCAGTCTGAGGCTTAACTACAGTACCACCAGGTCTAGTAATAATAGCTAAAACCTACTGAATCTTGTAATGAGCCAGACAGTCTCTGTGCTAAGTGTCATTTATGCATCTTTACTTAATATAATTATTATTTGCAGTCTGTTGGGAGCTGTAGATTTAGTTACTCTTAAACAGCGTGGATTGACACAGTACAACAGTGAGTTTAAGCATGGCACAGATTGGATGGTTGGTGCCAGATCAGGTAGGATTTTGATCTGATCTGTTGTACAGAGTCAGGTCACTGTGAGACTGAGATGGTGCAGTGACACCTAACAACAACAATAGCTATAACAGAATATTCATTCTGGAATAAGAGAAAGTAGTGTATATGATTTTGAAAAATATATATTGTCAAAATTTTTCTGTTTCCTAGTTTAATGTTATAAAGTTTGGGTTCTTTATACTATTTTTAGCTTTCCCCTCCTAATTTTGTAATGGTTTTTTTTTTATTTGAAATATGAAAAGTATGCATAACAGCATTTGCATAATCATAATGCTGACTAGAGTTTAACGCTTTTTAGTTCTTTCTCCTTTTTCAGTCTTGCAAGATTATTTTAATTGTAACTTAAAATGTTCAAGCATTTTTGTAAAGTTTTAAATGTTACTTGCAGATACTAATTTGACACAGATTTGCTTAAAGTAAATTTTATTATAAGTGAAATAATTCAACAATTCAGATAGATGTCTTTAAATTTTATCATTTTCTTTAACAGTATCAAAACCCAATTTTTTAATGTTCTAGTTTTTATAGCTGTATAGAATTATACAGTGACCTTTAAGAGTAAAAGTATTATATTAACCATCTTCTTAATTAGTTGTTAAATAATTGCCTAAGCAAAACACTTTAATTTTATTGGTTTTTCTTCTTGACAGTAATAATAGTGCTCAAAAACCTATCTTACTTTTATTATATAAGTTACCTATACATTTGAAGGATTCTTGGATAGATTTGAAACTAGCTTAAATGTACTAACTCTTATTATTAGAAACAAAAGAAGAGTGGCTAAAAGACCTTTAAAAGCATTTAGAGACATGTTGGAAAATACTGGGAGCTCTGGTGGCACAGTAGTTAAAAGCTAACTCTGAGATTGATGGGTTCAGACTCAACAGTGGCTCTGGGAGGAAGGGGTAGTAATTTACTTCTGTGAAGAGTTACAGTCTTAGAACTCTAATGGAGCAGTTTCACACTGTCCTGTAGAGTCACTCTGAGTCAGAATGGTCTCCACAGTAAATTAATTTGGAGAACTCTACGTGAAGTAGGAAAAAACTAATAGAAGTCTGCTTTTATTACAGTTTTATGTAATCTTGCCCTCACGAAGCTTTATATCCTTATTTTATTGAAAGATAATATTTTTAGAAACAGATTTTTTTTAAAAAAATCTTTGCTTTGTCTCAAACAGTGCATTGACTCAGAGTTGACCATTTTTGTTCCTGTAAAAATTGATTGAAATGTTATAAGCAAAATACCTGTTCTTCATTATTTAGTTAGCAGATTTTGTGAGCAGTGTTGTATGAACAGAGAACACATGGTAAGCAGATAGATACGGTCTCGATTTCCTGGGGATTATCGTCTAGATGGGAAGACATGAATCATCTATTTGAACTGTGATCTGTGCAGTGATGAAAAGTACAGAATGCTGAAGAGCATCCAAGAGGAGAGTCAGCTTTAGTTTGGTTGGTGGATGGTTCACGAAATGTGATCTTTGAACTGAGGTCTCTATGTGCAAATAGAGGGGAATAAGTATTCCAGGATAAAGGAATTATAGATAGGCCTCAGAGCAGAGTAATGTTTTTCAAGCTGTGAAGTCATTACCTATTATGAATGTGAAATGTTTGTGGCAATCAGCATTTTAAAAAGTGAAGTGAATATAACATTAGGATGGCTGGGGGGAGGAGGAGAAAGCAGGAAAAGAATGAGTAGATAATAAACACTGCCCTGGAATAAGTGAAGGGAAGGACAGTCTGAAAGGAATGGCTTAGATATTGTGTGTGACAATTAACAGTTTGTAAGGTGTGCCTGATACAAGGCCATGGTCTTTGCAATCGCTTGTTATGCATCAGAGAGTTGGACAATGACTAGGGAGGACAGAAGGAGAGTTGCTGCCTTTGAGCTGTGGTGCTGGAGAAGAGTATTGAGTGTACCATGGACTGCCAGGAAAACAAACAGATTCATCTTGGAGAGGATTAAACCAAGCTACTCCTTGGAGGCAAGGATTCTGGGGCTTCGTCTGACATACTTTGGACATGTTGCCAGGAGGGACGGGTCCTTGGAGAGGGACATCATGCTTGGGAGGGTGGAGGGACAATGCAGGAGGGGAAGACCCTCTATGAGATGGATTGATTCAGTGACTGGAGTAATCGGGATGGGTGTGTCAGAGGCAGTGCGGTTGGCGCAGGATAGAGCAGGGTTTAGGGCTGTTGTGCATAGGGTCGCTATGAGTTGCAAGCGACTCGACGGCACATAACAACAACAACAACAATAGCAACAACAATAGGACAGACATTACAGAGTGAATTGAGGGAAGGGGAGAAAGGAAAATGTATATGAATGAAATGAATAAAAACCAGTCTCCGTAAACTTTCACTAAAATCACAATAGCTAGAATCTGTGTTGGGGTTTGTTGTGTTTTGTTTGTTTTTTTGATTCAGAATCTATATATTATGAAGCAATTCTGTTATGTACTCACACTGACACATTTATACACACATAACACACTTACTGTATGTGTTGCTTCGTGATATAAGGTGATTTTCTGCTGTGGATCATTGTGAGCATACTGTCACAGCTTTCATCTACAGAGGGGCTGGAGGGCTCAAACTGCCAACCTTTTATTTAGTAGTCATGCACTTAGCCATTGTGCACCACTGGGACTCCTTTACAGAAGCTGTTAAGATGCCATTGAGTTATGTCTGACTAAAAGAAACCCTGTGTGCAGCAGAGTGAAACAATGGGCATTTTGGCTCCCTCGTCATGATCGTTGCTGTGCGTGAGCCCATTGTCTCAGTCCGTCTTGTACCCCAGTAACCATACAGTTACTTACTCAGCTATTTTGACATATCAGATCAGTGGAAACATCTCATTTTAAGCAAACAAATACTCTTCGTGAGATTAGATAAGCCAGTAGTACATTGTGTGTGTGTTTATGTGTGCTGAAGGAGAATCACCTGTAATTGATTAAACTTTTATGTGCTGGACCCTTGTACACCATTGTTTTATTAATCTTAAAATAATTTCATGAGGGTAGAAGTTGTTAGGATGTTATGCCCATTGTATAAACAAGCATTCCAGAGTGACAAATTGATTAGCAGTTGTCAGGCCACATAGTTCATGATGGAGAAAAATTTGAAAATAAGAGGTTTTTGGGGGTTGTTTTCCCCCCTCCAAAGATCATATTTTATCTTTATTTTTGAAGGTGATGTCATCAAGGGAGAACATACTCTTCTAATAAATGAAGTTTCAAAGCAACTTTTACAATTAAAAAAGAAAATATGTAGCCTAAGGATGGTCAAGAGAAAGTGATAAGGAACATAGATTTTGGAGTCAAAAGACTCCATTTTATGTAATATTTAATGTACTAAAAGTCCCATAAGGACAAATACTGTATAAGGCCATTATTATAGAATGAATATGAGGATCCAAGGGAGAGACTGGGGGGGAGCAGAGAGGTGAATATGGGTTGGGGGTGGGGGTGAGGGTGTGTTAATCATAGGGTCATACAATTTGATGGGTGGAGGGAGGGGGTTGAAGGAAATGGGAAAGCTCCTGTGTGAAAAGCAGTGCATATGAACTTTGTAAATAAACCAGTATATAAAAACAAAAAGATAGTACTAAATATTAGTGCCTTCTTTTCTCAGCTGAACATTTAGAGAAATTTGCTAAAACTGAAATTTTTGACTTATGAAATGAAGAGAGTTGTAGTTGTGTATTCTAGAGTTGTTTGTTAAGATTATTGGCAATTAATGATAAAAAAAGATGACATTATTAGTGTTTTTTGTTTGTTTTTAAAACAGAATACTTAAGTCGCCTCTGGACTATTGGTGAAAACATAGTATATTTCCCCTAGTTGATGCCAGCTCTGTGTTTCTCATTTATCTTCTTGTTTGTTTCTCTTTAAGGATTTCCATTTTTTTTACTTAAATGAAAAGATGAATCCTCCCAAATCTAAAAAATCCAAGAAAAAACGTGTTATCTCTGTTACTCCCACTGAAATGGGGTCAGTGAGTTCCAATTCCGGTTTTGATGCAGATTCCATGAGGGAATTGGTGAGTGCCACCAGGAAGTTCTCGCAGATGTTAATTTACTTCAGAGAAGCCATTCTTTCAGGTTGGTCAACTATTTTATCTTAACATTCTTCCTGGCTAGTTTGTAAAGTTTACAATGCCAGCCTTGCTATAAATGTGTGTGTATACAATGGTAGGTACAGTGTATTCTGATTAGTTACAATATGCAAATAATCCTCCTAGCCCCCAGTGCAAATAGTTGATATAGTATAAAATAGTTTATGGTAGAAATTTGGCTTAAGGAACAAGATTACAAAAAATGAAAATTGGTCTTTTAGTGATTTTTAACATTTCGGCCAATTTGATACCAAAAAAAAAAAAAGAAGATTATTAGTGTTTTCATATTTATATAAGACTTCCTGTTACATCTTAGAAATTTAGAAAATCTCAGCATCAGTATGTTAACTATTTCATCTTGAGTATATATGTACTGAAACAGAAAAACAAAAAACACATTAAATGCTATGTTATTGAACTGCTTATAACTTAACTGTGCTTTTTTTTTTTTTTAATGGAAAATGCGCCCAAACAATAGTACTTGTAGTCTTGAAACTTTGGTATTTAAAGTTCTCTTAAATTAAAAAAAAAAATCACACAAGTCATTTTTTAAAGACTACAAATTTTACTGCAAATGTTTTTCATATCTTTTCATTATAATAGCTTGATTTTTGAAGTAAAATTGTGGCTTATTAAATGGTGATAAAGCACTCTTGTTCCTGTGAAAACCCTCAAAAATCAAACTTGCTACCTTGCAGCTCTCCCTCCAGTTTCCAAGGCTATAATTGTAATTGAGAATAGACTGCTCATCTTCTTCATTTGAAGTGCCAGAAACTTAGAGCCTTTTGGTTTACAAAACTCCCTGCAGAATACCCTAAGTATTAAACTGTATTTGCACTGGTGAAGTAAATGGACAGGTACTCTATTCCTAGCTGAAAGGTTCATGGTTTGAATCCATTTAGGGCACCTTGGAAGAAAGGGATAGCACTTTGCCTCTGAAAAGTCACAGCCTTGAAAACCCTGTTGTACTCTGACATACTGAATTTCCACAAATCTAAAGCTGTTGGAGTGCAACTAACATCAGCATCATACCGGCCTTGAATTTCTTTACAGAGCACATCTGCCATTTATTTAAAGAAGTATATATTGTTATTAAGGATTTGTTCTTAATGTGGGTTTATTTTCTAGTTTATATAGTAAGGCTTACTGTATTTTAGTGTGCATTTCATTAACTGGGTTAATTTCCAAGGTGACATTTAAGATAATAACAAATCATTTACTTCAACATAAGTCAAGACTGGATTTTACCTGATGTATTAATTAGTTTTGATAGTATCAGATTTTAAGTTAGAATATCTATTTGTTTTTGTTTCTTTTCCTTGTTGATATTTTTGTACTTTCCAGTTGGAACGGACACATAGCTGATCCTCCAGGGGGCTTTCAGAGGCAGTAAACAGAGTAAGAGGAGACCATGTACCATCAACGAGGTGTGCTGCCAACTCAAAGGCACACAGTTCGAATCCACTGGCTATTCCACAATAGAAAGATGGGTGGTCTCCTCCTGTGTGGTTTACTGCCTCTGAACATCTGCTGAAGGGTCAGCTATGAGTCACTTTCAGCTCCATGACACATAAGAATAGTTCTTTTCTTTAGGAGATTTTCTATCCTTTAACATCTTCTTGTCCATAATTATCCTATTCTACAAAAAGATATGGTAATTTTAAACAAATTAGACTACTTCTTATCTCCACAATGTTTTAAATGAGTTTTAATTTGTGAGTAGACAGCCCAGAGGAAGAAGACTGAAAGTTAATCCTAAATAAGAAAGAAGAGAACTTGTATTCATTATAAAATAGCAGAATTGTATCTTTTGAGTTAAAGGAATATATGTGGAAATGAATTTAGAAATCTATAAGGACTTTATCTTTTTAATACTAAGCCAGTATGACACAGTTTAAGTACTACAAATTGTTGTACAAATACTAATGGTAAATTTATTAGCTTGCAGTTTATACCTGATAAAATAAAAACAAACAAAAGACTCAATATTTTTTGTTAACTGAATCTCATTGAAAAATACTAATTGCCAGAGAAATTACATTGTTTACCTTGACTGATTGTAATGTATTGTTTTTCCAGAGTTGAAAAGATGTATCCATGTCATTTGAGAATACATTTTTGAGTTAACAATAATTCGTTTTCCTCAAACCTTGAGTTGCTATACTTAAGGATGGTTTGGGCAGAATAATAAATGATCCAGAAAGTATTAAAAGAAGATGCAAAGAGTATACAGACTCATTGTACCGAAAGGAATTGGCAGATAGAAGAATTTCATGAAACAACGTATGAGCAAGAGCCTATGGTGATGAAGGAAGTTCAAGCTGCTTTGAAGGAATTGGCAAAAAATAAGGCCACAGGAAGTAATGGTATACCAATTGACGTATTTCAACTAACAGATGCTGCCCTAGATATATGCTCACCAAGTTGTATCCAGAAATCTGGAGGATGAACACTTGGCCAACTGACTGAGAGAAATCTATATTTGTTCCCATTCCAAAGAACAGTGATCCAAGAGAGTGTGGAAATTATCGAACAGTATCATTGATATCACATGCAAGCAAGATTCTGCTGAAGATTATCCAAAAATAACTGAAACAGCACAGTAACAGAGAACTTCCAGAATTGCAGGCTGAGTTGAGAAGGGGTAGTGGTACTAGGGATATTGTAGTTGATGTTAGATGGATCTTAGCTGAAAGCAGGGAATACCAGAAGAATGTCTATCTGTGTTTCATTGATTATGGAAAGGAGTTTGACTGTTTGGATCACAACAAACTGTGGCTGACTCTGAGAAGAATGGGAATCCCAGAACACTCGATCATGGTAATGCGAAACCTATACTTGGACCAGGAGGCATTTATCAGAACAGAGCAAGGAAACACAGCATGGTTCAAAATTGGGAAAGGTGTACACCTAGGGATGTGTCCTATCTCCATACCTTTTCAACATAGATGCAAGCAGATTATCCGAGAAACTGGGCTGTATGGGGAGAAGTGTGGCATCAGGATTGAAGGAAGATTCATCAACAATCTGCATTATGCAGATGACACAACCCTGCTTGCTGAAATTGAGGAGGACCTGAAGTGCTTGCTGCAGAAGGTCTAAGACTGCAGCCTTCAATATGGATTGAGGCTCAATATCAAGAAAAACAAAGATTCTCACAACTGGACTATTTGTCAGCATCAGGATGGATAGTGAAGAGATTGAGATGGTTAACAGATTTTATTTGCTTGGCTCTACAGTCAACAATACTGGTACCAGCAGTCAGGAAATGAAAAGATGTATTGCGATGGGAAAGTCGGCTGTTAGGGACCTCTCCAAAGTACTGAAGAGCAATGGTATCACTCTGGAGATTAAGGTGTGCCTGATATAGTCCATGGTCTTTGCAATCAATTGCTATGCATCAGAGAGCTAGACAGTGACTAGGGAGGCAGAAGGAGAATTGATGCTTTTGACCTTGGTGTTGGAGAAGAGTATTGAATATATCATGGACTTCTGAGAAAATGAACAGGTTCATCCTCAAGAGGGTTGAACTGGCTGCTCCTTGGAGGCAAGGATTCTGAAGCTTCCTCTGAAACACTCTGGATATGTTGCAAGGAGGGACCAGTCCTTGGAGAAGGACATCATGCTTGAGAGGCTGGAGGGACAGTGCAGGAGGGGAAGGCCCTCTATCAAGTAGATTGATTCAGTGACTGGAGTAATAGGGGTAGGTGTGTTGGAGACAGTGAAATGGACACAGGATAGAGCAGGGTTTAGGGCTGTTGTACATAGGGTTGCTTTGAGTCGCAGGCAACTAGACAGCACTTAACAACAACATAATAAGGTCATTCTTAACAAGTTCTGGATTTTCTTCTCCTTAAACAAAGATTCTCTCTCCAATGTTTTTTCTGTCTTTCCTTACTACTAGTCACATGATCAAAGTTCTACGCCTAGTTTTGCTGTTGATTTGCTTTGGAGACTAGCTAAAGTTATGGTGTTGATTTCTGCTGACAATAACAGTGTTAGGATTTTGTGACTTAAAATTTAGTTGGAGTTTGAGATTATACATTGTTTTGAATGTTGACTATTTGGTGCTTTCCCCATTCCTCCCACAGCTATTTGTTTTTAAATTGTATAATCCCATATAGGGAGCTCTGGTGGCCAGAAGCTGCACTGCAGTCCCAAAGGCATGCACTTCAAGGCCACCAGCTGAGAAGGATGGACAGTCTCCTCCTGTGAGATTAACTGCCTCTGAAAAACCACTGGAGAGTCAGCTATGGGTTGGTTCCAACTCAATGGTATACAACAACAACAACAACAAGCACCATAATCCCATTAGTGTCCCCTCAGTTCCAACTGTAAAATTTTTGAAATGAGAGTTTTTTTATAAGTATCTTAAGAATGATGCTTATGAAAATTTTGCAAGTAAAATTATGTCATATTGTAGTAATTTGAGAAACTGATTAAAGAAAATAGATGCCTGCCACCTAGGGTTAAAATATGTATGTATGTATGTAGGTTGTCTCTTAATATTTTTATTGACAAATAAAATGGAGAACTTATAGGACATCAGAGTACTGTGAACGCACTCTCTTCTCCTTTAATAAGGTGAGTGATTTCATTTGACAGTTCTCCTTACACTGTTTGTTTCTGGTAGGAGGCTGGTACTCATTTTAATTTTAGTGGCAGGTATAGAATTTGAAGTTTGGTTGTTGTTTTTTTTTTTTTAACCTCACTTTTTTTAATGTTTATTTTTATTAGGGGTGTGTGTGTGTGTGTACCATCAAATCAGATTTGACTGGTACAGGAGGAGATTGTTCCTCCTTCTCCAGCAAAGCATCTGGTGGATTTGAACCACACACCTCTGGGATTGCAGTGTAGCTTCTTGCCACTAGGCCACCTGGAGTAAATTTTGCATCTTATAGTAAATGCCAAAGCACTCGATTACACATTTCATTGTGTTTAATTATAACACCATGGGTTAATAAACGTGAACTGTAAGTTCCAGCTGAGGGTATGGATTAGTGTTTGTTGTTGCTGTTGATTGCTGTCAAGTTGAGCACAACTCACAGAGACCCTATGAACAAAAGACCTAAAGCCTTTCTATAACTCGTCATCTATCGAAGGTCATAGAGTTTCCAGAGGCATGTTGTTTAGGAAGTGGATGCCACTCCTGTTCCAAGGGTTAGTGATTACTTGGTGTGAAATGAATCTTTAAGGAGAGTGAATGAAGTGTGAAGTATAGGTAACTGACTTATTATCACACAAATGCCAATTTCCAAGAAATTACTTTCTGCTTCTGTAGTTGCCTAGAATTATTTACATCCTATGGTATCATTTATAATAGTAACTGGCTCTCTGACGGTGTAGTCCGTGGGGAGTTACACTGTTAGCCCACAGCGCTTTGGGTAGAGAAAGATGAGCAGTCCCCTCCCGTGTGATTTATAGCCTCAGAAACCCAGTGGAGGGTCAGCTATGAGTTGGATCTGACTTGCTAGCACTGATTTAGTGGAGTTATAATAGTAACTGGCGTATTGTATTAATAGTGACTCACCTGTGGAATCATAGGTGGCACAGTAGCTGTCATTGAGCCATAACTCCTTTGAACCAGGGCAGGATGCCATGTGACCAAGAGCATCAGTTCGGAGGCCAGAAGGCCTACAGTGCCATCCTCATTCTGCAACCTTCTAGGTTCATTGCCCTTGGCCTGACACTTACCTGCTCTATGCCTCAGTTTACACATCTATAAAATAATAGTACATGAGTCAAGAGGTTCTTGTGAATATTAAATGAGTTAATATATGTAGCTCACTCACTCATTGCCACCAAGTTGGAACTTACTCATAGCTGACCCTCTGTTGGGTTTGTAAAGCATGGGAGGAGATGCCCATCTTTTTCCTGGTGGCTTAGAACCTCCTGCCTTTGGGTTGGCAGCACAACACCTTACCCACTAGGCCACGAGAGCCCTCTTAATATATGGAAAGCTCTTAGAAAATGAATTTTTCTCGGAAAAAGATCCCCAAAACAACAAAACCCACTGCTGTAAAGTTGCTTCTGCTGTAGCAACCCTATAGGACAGAGTAGAAACTGCCACATAGATTTTCCAAGAATGTGGTCTTTAAGGAAGCGAATGTTTATATCTCTCTCTTACAGAGATCGGTGGGTTCAAACTCCCCACTTTATGATTAATAGCTCATTGGTCAGCCACTGTGCCACAAGGACTCCTTTTGCTTTTCCCAGGTAGGAGGCTCTCATTTAGAGGGTTGTTCCTTGGGCTTCTCTTTTATCCTGTAAATTTAGAAGTCACTACAGCAAACAAAAGGGAATTTCCTATTGATAACTTTTGAAGCTTTTTTCCTCCGGTTTTCATTATTTTCTAGAGAAGAGGTCAAATGCATTAACTACAGCAACTTTTTTAAAAATTAGCAGATTTTTTT